TATTTTTTTTTTCGTATTTGTTTAATTGTTTTAAATACATATATGTACGTAATTAATAATACCTCATATTGTTGATCCAGTAATCCCAATTTAATCGCATTTCTAACATAATCCTCAAAATCTTTCACTTTAATTGTCATCATAGTTGAATCATTCATTTGAATATTATCAACCAAAAGCTGAAGATTTTCTTTACTTCGATTAATGGAAGAAGATTTTTCCGATAGAATCGGTAAAGTGGGTTTAACTTTTTGTATATTTTCATTCGTTTGTTGTACGATCTCATTCAAAGGAAAATTATTAATACGTAAATTTCTCTCGTTGTATCTATCAACATTTTATTGAAATATTAATAATTATAATTGAAGTAAAATATAAAATTAGAATTAGAAAAAAAATTGTTTTCTTACCTTCGATGAAGATCAAATACGAAGAAAAATATAATGATAAGTATAACCACCAAATAAATTGGCCAAATGTCGTACGATTTGGTTATGAATAAAAAACGATTTGTTTTTAAAGATAATAAAAGCGTGACATTTTCTGTTTGAACTATCACGTAAATCGTATAAACATTGTACAATATAAATGGACAATTGGTACCCTCATCGTATTTTTTATTATCACCTATTGAAAATTCTTTTCCGGAATATTTATCGGCCTGGCATGATTAAATCAATTGTTTTAATAAAACATATAGGTATAAAGAAGATTGTTTTTATACTTACAGAAAAACTAGCAGCTAACCATGCAATTTCGTTATTTTTAATATTCGTTGATTCCCTTAAATAATTGTTCAATTTTGTATACCTTTTGCACGGATGTTCACCCTTTATTACAATAAACATTTTACTATTTTTAGTGTCGTTCAAAAGTCTTGGAATTTTTAACAGTATCGATGTATTGCTTTCAACCATATAACTTAATTTGTTATTTTCAAATGTTATAGAATCAGGCGTACGTATCATGGAACTTTTCAATTCACTTGTTTCATTCTTAATTGTTACAGCCTGTACACTTATGTTATACGTAGTAGAAGATAATAAATTTATACGCCAATTGTATTGTTGTTGATATTTCTTGATTTTATAATAGTAATATTTATTTCTTACGGATTTCCAATTATTTTCTTTTAAATTATTATCCAACATTTGTATTTGTATGTCAAATTTATCAAGCGGTGTATTCGTTTTCCAAGGATGACTCCAAGTCAAATTAATTATACCTTTATAATCATTTATAATTGTTAAATATTTCGGTGGATCTGGTTTGGTTGCTAAAAAAAAAAAAAGCACACAATTTTATCAAGTTAAATTTGTCCTTAATCGATTCTATACATATTACTATTATTATTATTATTATATACGTAATTATACCAATTGTTTTTGGATTGTAATAAGTGATGGCAGAATTTCCAGCAATGTTAACATTTTTATTATATCCCGTCACCTACGAAATTGTAAATAACAAACTTTCGATAAATTTAACACACATATCTCGTTAAATATTGATTTATTTATTAATTGAAATATAACATTTTTATATACGTACGGTTATTCTGTTATATACATTAATCGTTAATACGATTTTTGAACAGATGTAATTCTTCCAAAGTGTACAAGATTCATTAGGAAATACAACATGCATGTTATTTAACTTAAAATATTGATAATAGTAATAGTTATTAACACTATAATAATCTAATACGCCATTTGGTGGCAATGGTTCTTGCCATCTTAAGGAAATTGTCATTGTACGATCATCGAATTCATATATATCAAGTTCTCTTACCGATGTTGGTGCTGAATAGAAAATTTCACAATTGAAAAAGAATAAAATAAAATAAAATGAATGAATCATTCGTAAAACTTACGTTTCGATGGGGTAATGAATATCAATTCCACGCCAGTACTATCATTATGGGGTTTGTGATAGTTTCGTATAGGAAATATTTGTACTTTATATTTTTCGTAATTTTCTAAAGTTAATGCCTTGACATCAAAATATAATTTTGAAGTTTCACGGATAAATGTTTGATTTTGTACAGCCTCGCTAATGCCTGTAAATATTATTTTCGTTACAATGATAGGTCCGGAAATAGTCGTACAATCTTTTGGTTTGCCCCAAGTAATTCGATTATTTTCATATTTCAAATTAGAAAGTATAGATCTTGGAATATCTGAAAGAATTATTTCAAGACAATTGACTCGTAAGTATTTCATTTCATTATTATATTTAAATCAAAAGGTTTATTTCGAATCTGTACCACCTGTGTGTGTGTGTGTACACACCTGTAGAATTCGTAGTAAAAGATTTGTCTATTTTCAAACCTTTCTTCGAATTATAAGCTGCAATTGTTATTATATATTTTGCGTATAACGGTAAATTAAAAAATCTAACATTAGTCATTGTTGTATATTTTGTTTTGTTGTATTTCGAGATTAAAGATTGATCATAATTAACGCATCCGTAATAAACGTCAACCTATGGTATACAAAATCAAACGAAATTATTATAATTATATAATAATGCATAATTGTTATATAAATTCATTTACCATTAAATTGACTTCGTACTTTTTGATTTTTCCATTTGGTTGTTCTGGTGGTTTCCATTGTATGTATACTTGATCGTTAGATGGTTTAATAATTTGTACTTCCGTTACCTTCGAAGGTTCTAAAAACAATAATTTTTAATTACAAATACATTTATACATAATCATTATATTTGTAGGATAATTATATAGAAATGTACTGACCCCCATCATCAGTTAAAATACTTTTCGATAAGATATTTCTATTATTTCCACTTATGTATAGGTTGTAAATTGTTGCAGGTATAACTTCAAGTGTAAACGGAATTTTATTTAAATTTCCTTCATAAATTATATTTTTGATATTATCTTCTTGATAAATTAACAAGTTATACCAAACCCATGGACACGAGTAATTAATTCCTTCATTATTAATTAATGAATTATCATCAGTTATCGTTAAATACGTCTCATTCGTTTCAATATTAAAAGATGCATTAACTGTATGAGAGATTAAATTAATATGTTAATATGTAATATAAGATTAATATATAAATTAGTATCAATAGTATTTGAAAATATAATTTTAATTATCTACCATCGCAGGGTATAGTAACATTTTTTGATAAACCTTCTATAATAGTTCCCTCTTGTCCATAGCGTAAATTACACCATATACTATAATTTATACCAGGTTTTAAAAATTTGAAATCTGTTTCGAAAATAGTAGTATTCGAAAATACATTCTTATACGAACATGTACTTTCATTTAAATCTTCGCTATTATTCTGTAAAATTATAGGATAAATTATTTGTTATCCGATATAAACAATATAACACATGATTTTTGTCATCCTCTTTTAAATAACATATAATGAATAATTAATTACTTTAATGAGAAAACAATATTCGGTTATTGTTTTCTTATATTCATCTCTTGCAATAAGACTAACACTAACGTATGTTTCATTAATAAAATTTATAATTGGTGGTGGTGGTACATTGATTACTGAAAAATATATATGTATATACATATTTATATATTATTTATATTTTATTATATTATTCAAATTTATATCTTTTACCTGTTTTACAATACGGTGATATATAATACTTTTCCATGTTGTTGCATTGAGAATTTTTACAGATTCCCGTTATACTGTCGCACGAATTATATAAACATTGACCACAATTTTCTTTACACCAATATCCGTATCGATTATTAATGCAATCTATCGAATAATAATTATCCTATAGAATTCTAGTTTAATAAATATTATTTACATTTCTAGAAACTCTACTCACGTTTATCACATTTGTCACCTGTTAAACCTTTGTAACACGTACACCCCATTTCTGTACAAATCATTGTATTTTCGCAATTGTTATTCAAATATTTAGAAATATTTCCACAAGATTTCGAACATAACAATCCGTTTGGACAATCAAAATTGTCTAAGAATTATTAATTTGATAAAGTAAAATAATATAGAAGCATGATAAATAAAATGTTTTGTATTATTAATTATTAAAATGATTAATAAATTTATAAATGTAAGTATATGGCTTAATTATGTAATAATTGTTTTTTAATTATGCTTACTGTTCTCGAGTTCCTTTGTTTGGAGAAAAGCTGTAACTATTTGATTACGTTCGTATGACATTTTTTGACAATTTAATTTATACTTAGAGAGATCATAATTAATTCTGTTGTTGTTCTGATAATTGTATAAATGGCTGCGTTTCGTTGAATCTGAAAATGATATTTGAAAAAAATATAAGAAAGATATCTCATTTATTTAAATGAAATCGTATGAATTTTACCTAAAGAAGGACACTTTCGAATATTTCCTATTGCCCAAAAACCTTGATCATTATTTTTATCATCGATCATTGTTTTTATTTTAATTTTAACATAGTCGTATTCTTTCGACAAAAATGTCGTATTCATTATAATATATTTCCACGTTGTTAATTCATAAATTTCCTTGGATCCTTTAACTGTCATTGTATTTTTTTCATTGGAATCTTTGTTTCTATTAAACGCTGTCATAATGATTTTCATTATACAATTTTTGCACAGACCAATAGAAAATTCGAAACATAAAGACGGGTTATTTTCGTATAATATTTCAGGACTAGTTAAAGTGTTATTCAATTTATTCGTATAAATATAATTATCTGTAATAAAAAGAAGAAGATTTTCATGAAAAAAGTTAGTAACTCATGTAGAATATTTTTTATTTAATTAGATAATCGGAAACTTACATATGTGATTTCGAATAAGTATCGATTCTGAACTATAATAAAAAAGACAATAATTATCGCGATCATTTGTGATTAGATTTTCATCAACATAATTTAATATGATTTTGTTTTCATTGTATAACGTTATCCTTCGTGTTACGTTGTCCCATTTTAAAACAAAGTGTTTCCATTCGTTTGGATTCAATAATAATTTATCCTAAATCGTTAAAAAATAAATAAATAAAACTAAATACTGATTTTATTTATTATATTTAATTAATTGTCATAACTCGATCAATATTTATAAATGCTTACGATTGTATTATTTGTTATCATAAAACAATTAGTTTTTTCTATTTGATATTCCAATGAAAAACCTTTTGGACATTTTCGTATCGTCGAAATAGTGTTGTTCAATCCGCCGATAATGATCCAATAACAAAAAGAATTTGTATAATCTTCACCATCGCATAATAACGCTTGAACTTCGGCAGCAGCACGAACGGAAAATACGATGGAATTGGTTTTTGCCAATTTATTAATGTGATTATATTTATTTTGGTTGATGCTATTAGATTTAAAATTATCAAATTCCGAGAAACCTATAATAATATTTTTATCGATAAACCATATCTATATTTTAGATTTATATATATATTTTATTTAATTTTATTGATAAAATTTAGGTCAAACCTTCCCAACGATTATCCAATACCGGTCCCATTGGTTTATTTAAAGAATTAACAAATGTCCATTTGTTTATATTCCACGTACAATTATTATGCAAATTAAATGGACAATCGTAAGAACTTGGTTTCGTACAATTATCATTTGGATAATCAATCGTACAGAAATCTGTAAGTATCAAGAAAAAAAAAAACAAAACTAACAATATCCTAATTGTTTTATTATTATAAAAGAGAAAAAGAAAATCCTTTTCACCGAAATTCTGTTTCCAATTTTGATTATTAATTAATTCCATATTCCATACGAATGCACTTCCGTCATATTTGGATGCACATGTCAAATATGCCTGGTGTGCTTCTATATTTCGAAGGATCAATAAATTTTCGAAAGCATAACTCAATTGAAAATTAAATATTATCGTAAATAAAACTTTCATATTGCACCTTTTAACGTAACGAATCATTGCAATGTTGTTATTATTGTTTTTTTTTATTGTAGTATCGATTCAATGTTTATATTAATATATTCCTTTTTTTTTTCCTTGTCCACAGTGCAACTCGCATTTTTTTTTTTTTTAATAAAACTGACGACGAATCTCACTCGTTTAAATTATTTTTTCATTTTCGTTGAATAATGTTAATTACAATTCAAAATTTCAGAAGATTTGATCACTTATCTATATCGAACATTTATTTTCATCGAAACACGATCCTTATTTCTTTTTTTTTTTTTTTCACGTTAACTCGTTTAACGGGTAAAGTATTAAATGAAAAAAGCGGATGCCGCGAGAATGGCTGAACATTATAAATATTGTATTACTCATAACTATCGCGAATAAAACCACGCTTCCTTCGAGATAAGTTTAGATGTTTTTTCCTTTCGTGATAAATTATGCGCGCGTATCTGTGTAAAACTCGTAATGTTTTTTTTAATTATAAAAAGAACAAAAAAGAAAAATAGGATTATATAGCAAGAAATTTCAAATAACAATGAATTGTTTCTCATTTTACAGATCGCGTACATATATATTTTTTATTACGCTATCTTTTTTTGTTTTTTTTTTTTCTTACAATCTACGAGAAGTACAAGGCCACTTTGATCATAAAACAATTTTAAAATAATATTATATCACCGTATATATCTTTTTATAAACTATACTATTTTCACATGCACACATGTACACGAATATCATTAAATTGATCGAACTTTTACAATTATTAATTTGACATGCATCATTAAATGTCCAATAATAATACACGAAGAGAGTAATATATTTGTCATAATGAAATCTGTCAAGGTGACAATCGTGGTATCCAAGAATGTACTCTCCTGTGTCTTCCTAAATTACACTTTGGGGTTAACACAGCAAGAAGAGCTAAACATGCACCCAAAAGTGAAACTCCGCATAATGCACCAGCTGTTATATCGTGTAAAGGAGTTCCTGGTCTGGGTGATTTAGCAGCTAGTAACAAAAGTCCTGCACAACTTAATGCGGAAAGTCCTGCGAGACCTAATCCGGTCCAGGTTCTTCTTAGACTTCTACAAGCACCTGCCAGTGCGCAACAAACACCACAACCAGCGGCACTATCGAAATAATATCTGAAAATGTGTGAAAAGATATATGTTATTATATTTTTCTTTTTAAATAAATATCGATTTTATTTGTTCTCATTTACTTTCTTCCTTGGGTCCAAGAAAGATAAAATGCCAGGCCACAGGTTAAAACTCCAACCAAGACCAACAAGAGAGGTGCATTTCTTCGATCATTTTTTTCCAATGCACTTGCCAATGTTGTGTTAACATCGCTATGTGGTGGAGATAATGGTGGTACCTAACGAAAAATATGATAATAAATATTTTATTTAATTTGCTTCTTTTAAAAACGCGAAACAAATATTAGACTCCAATCAAAAGTTTGTGCATTTATTATTGTATATAAATTGTATTATAAACTGTATTATAAACTGCATAATGGATTGTTATTTTTGTCCAAATTTACTTTGGTAATAAACAAGAAATAATACACGAACTTTTGATTCTAACAAATGGGCCCAAGTATTATTGATTTTAACTCACAACAGCGGTCCTAGCAATGAACGCACTTTCCACGCTCTGATAACCATTTCTCTTTTGATCGGTTGGAAGTACTTGATACCTTGGAGAACCAGACACCATTGGCATAGATTCCGGACCATTTTCTAGATAACCATAACGTGGTGGTGGTTCTCCGTGAACCATAGATGCAAGATCAACCGGAGCTGTACCAATGTAACGAAGTCTACCACAATTACTGGCTGGACAAATATCCTGTTGTTGTCTAGAAGTGTTTTCGATTAGGGGTAGACACCTCCTAGCTGAAGGTTCTTTGTTAGGTGTCGAAGTTTGAGGACCATTGGCTGGAAACGTTCGGTTCTGTGGTGTTCCTTGAGGTGTCGTACGTGTCGGACTGAAATTATGACCTATATGTGAAGAAAAAAGAAACGGGTTATCTTCATTACTGATCCTGGGAATATAATCGTATGAAAAATAATAATGGCAAAAGGATAATAATTGAAAATTGTTAATTACTGCTTGGGGATCCAGCCGGGGTTAGGGCTCTCCTTTGTGGCGTACCGGTTTGGTTCACGGTCTGTTGCCTTTTCGGAGATAGGGTTCGTTCCTCCGATCTAGACCTTGGTTTTCGCGGTGTCGTTAATATTTCGTGAAGTTTTCTCGTTGCTAGATTATTCCTAGGTGACGTTGAATATTCTTGTTGAAGGTTCCTTTCAGGTAGGGCTGGGGGTGGTTCATCATCTTGCAATGGTACTCTCGCGTAACGACCTATCGATGTTTTATCTCATAAAATATTCAAAATGAAATGATTATAAACACAAAAAGGAAGAAATTTGTTTTACCTTGAACAGTGTTAACGCTACCTCGTCGGGAAATTCGTCTGTTTCCATTCCAAGTGTTCCTTGTAATGTCTTCCTCGTCATTGTCGTTGTCATCATCATTATTGTCAATGTTAACATTGTCGTCGATTTCGTCAGGGTAATCTAACTCACCCGGTACAATCGCGTATCTTCTTTCACCATTGTTACGGTTGGTATGCGTTTGTTGCAGGCGGCCCCTTTGTCGTTTATCGTCTTGGTTGACCGGCAGCGCGGAACGTTGCCGTTGCACCTGCTGGCGCGGAATGAACTCGTACCTGATGGAAGGCCTTCTTTGCAATTGACCCCTTTGCTCGTCCTGAATGTATTCGTATCTCGTGGATTGTCCATAATTTATTGAACCACGATCATCTATTGGAAGACTCGCGTATCTTTTGTGAGTTGGTGGACCAATATTGTTATCTTCCAAATAACAATATCGTCTGTTATGTTCTCTGTTATCTAAAGTTTCCATTTGTCTTTCTACTTGTCTGTCTATTGTTTGTCCATCCAATCGCGTCTCGTTGTTACCTTGGAACGCTGGATTACTCTGGCCGCATTGCAAATGCATTTGCAAGGGTGGCGGGGGTGGTGGTAATTCGTCAATGGCGTTACATTGAAATTGCGGAGGTGGTGGTAGATTTTCTCTATCGTCAGGAATGTATTCCGATTGTCGACAAAACGATGGATTGGTATAACAGTGCACAGGGACACAGGGTTCCGATGTTTGCGCCATCTTTTTCTTTTCCCTGTGTCGTGTATTTTATTTGTATATATATATATATATATCTATATATTATTTTAATCGTTCTTAACAACACTTTTTGAAAAGTCCCTTTTTAAGTATAATAAGTTAGTTAAATAATTTTGACTCCTGTTCAAATTGCACGACTTAAAATATTCTTCAGGAACGATTAACGACGATCAAAAAAACTGTGCTAACGTAAGTAGGCGATCTCCAAGTTTCCAAGGACAAATTAACTGTTCGAACTGGCGTAATTTCCACGTTCACGGATGAATACTCTATTTTACACATTTTACACAATGTCAACGTGCATTTAAAAATTTTCATTCGAAAGTTGTTTAATAAGATTGACGATTGGTTATATAAAAAAAAAAAAAAAGAAAGAAAAGAAACAGAAATAAATGTTATTATATACTTTCTCCTTTTGATTATCTTACTTAGAGTTCGAAAATGGTTTTGGTAGCGTGCACGAGCGTTGCCACCGATAAACTGCCAGCCCGGACGTGGGATTCCCTTAAGCAGCAGATGTATTACGAAAAGGGCGTCTCTTCCACGCGCGCCTTTTTCTCATCCAAGTTAATAGTATGTGCGTATTGAACGTATGAGAGAGAGAGGGGTGGTTGTTGCGCGTAATACGGGCCCGGTGTGTCCCTTTGCGAGATGGAAGAAGGGCCCCATTGCGTTCTCTTTTAACAGTCATACTCTACTATTCCCCCCTTCCACTTATTTCCTTTCCTTCCCTTCCCTTCCCTTAACGTACCCTTAACGATTATTTGCGAGAGACCTTAACGTTTTATGCACGTTGAGGAATTTTCACGTTGTCGTCATTTGAGCGCCAGTTTACCTCTCGGATAGACTCTTTAAATTTTAAATGTCTCTTTTCCTCTATCTCTATCCTGAAGAAACTAAATAATTGACAATACGATGCACATTACAAGATTTATACTATATATATAGTATGGTATTTAGTATAATATAAAATAATTGACAAAATGATGCATTACAAATGTTTTACTATATGTTTTACTACCATTATTCATACTGTATATTTATATTTGTGTGTTATTCGTAAAAGTTTGCTATTAAGTTAGGTTGTAATCTTAAAAAGATTAAAGGATCTTTCCCTTTTCACACATTTCCTGTTA